CCTAGCTCCAGTTTCTATCTCCAACTCCTAGCTCCAGTTTCTATCTCCAACTCCTAGCTCCAGTTTCTATCTCCAACTCCTAGCTCCAGTTTCTATCTCCAACTCCTAGCTCCAGTTTCTATCTCCAAATCATCCTAGCTCCAGCTTCTATCTCCAACTCCTAGCTACAGCTTCTATCTTCAACTCCTAGCTCCAGTTTCTATCTCCAACTCCTAGCTCCAGTTTCTATCTCCAACTCCTAGCTCCAGTTTATATCTCTAACTCCTAGCTCCAGTTTATATCTTCAACTCCTAACTCTAGTTTCTATTTCCAAATCCTAGCTCCCGTTTCTATCTTAAACTCCTAGCTCCAGTTTCTATCTCCAACTCCTAGCTCTAGTTTCTATCTTCAACTCGTAGCTCCAGTTTCTATCTCCAACTCCTAGCTCCAGTTTCTATCTCCAACTCCTAGCTCCAGTTTCTATCTTCAACTCCTAGCTCCAGTTTCAATTTCCAACTCGTAGCTCCAGCTTCTATCTCCAACTCCTAGCTCCAGTTTCAATCTCCAACTCCTAGCTCCAGTTTGTATCTCCAACTCCAGCTCCAGTTTCTATCTCCAACTCCTAGCTCCAGTTTCAATCTCCAACTCCTAGCTCCATTTTCAATCTCCAATTCCAGCTCCAGTTTCGATCTCCAACTCCTAGCTCCAGTTTCTATCTCCAAATCCTAGCTCCAGTTTCTATCTCCAACTCCTAGCTCCAGTTTATATCTCTAACTCCTAGCTCCAGTTTATATCTCCAACTCCTATCTCCACCTTCTATCTTCAACTCCAAACTCTAGTTTCTATCTCCAACTCCTAGCTCCAGTTTGTATCTCCAACTCCTAGCTCCAGTTTCCATCTCCAACTCCTAGCTCCAGTTTCAATCTCCAACTCCTAGCTCCAGTTTCAATCTCCAACTCCTAGCTCCAGTTTCGATCTCCAACTCCAAGCTCCAGTTTCTATCTCCAAATCCTAGCTCCAATTTCTATCTCCAACTCATAGCTACAGCTTCTATCTTCAACTCCTAGCTCCAGCTGCTATCTCCAACTCCTAGCTCCAGTTTCTATCTCCAACTCCTAGCTCCAGTTTCTATCTCCAACTCCTAGCTCCAGTTTCTATCTCCAACTCCTAGCTCCAGTTTCTATCTCCAACTCCTAGCTCCAGCTTCTATCTTCAACTCCTAGCTCCAGTTTCTATCTCCAACTCCTAGCTCCAGTTTCTATCTCCAACTCCTAGCTCCAGTTTCTATCTCAAACTCCTAGCTCCAGTTTCTATCTCCAACTCCTAGCTCCAGTTTCTATCTCCAACTCCTAGCTCCAGTTTCTATCTCCACATCCTAGCTCCAGCTTCTATCTCCAACTCCTAGCTACAGCTTCTATCTTCCAACTCCTAGCTCCAGTTTCTAATCTCCAACTCCTAGCTCCAGTTTCTATCTCCCAACTCCTAAGCTCCAGTTTATATCTCCTAACTCCTAAGCTCCAGTTATATCTCCAACTTCCTATCTCCACCTTCTATCTTCAACTCCTGACTCTAGTTTCTATTTCCAAATCCTAGCTCCCGTTTCTATCTTAACTCCTAGCTCCAGTTTCTATCTCCAACTCCTAGCTCTAGTTTCTATCTTCAACTCGTAGCTCCAGTTTCTATC